AGAGCACAATCTCTCTTGAAGTCATCTTAACATGCTGCAGCCTTAGAGTACTATTTGTCTAGGACCCCATGTAGCTAACAGTCTAGCTAATAATAAGCATTTAACTCTAATTGCTTTTTGGTAATAATGAAAAATGCATTCCAGCCCCAAACTAAAACCTTATTTCCTTTTTATATATAATGTTAGGAACTTTCATTGGAGATTTTTTTCATATGAACCTGAGATCCAATTCCTTCCTCCATACTTGGCAATCTTTTTAAAATTTCCTCCCAAACAACCTGTACTCTCTCCTTCTCAAAAACAAGATAGACTTTGTTTGACCACAATTTTAGCTATAACTGGTGTTATTTTTGGTGCTTGGGCTGACCACATTTCAGTCTGAAGCTATCCATACTGCATATTTGAAGTGATAGCTCTGAGTATGGGAGTATATCTGAGGTTTTATGGAAGCCAGTTTATATTTATTGGTGTCTGAATTTCTCAGTTGATTAATTCTGTTGAGTTAATATATTAGTGTATAAAGCTGATGCTTACTAGTCTTCATTAGAAATAAGCTGCAGAGATAATTTCACTTTTACTTTCATATTTCATGTCTAACACTGTTCATATAAGCCATGTTTACAGTTGTGTGTGTACTATCTAGCCTTTTGCCACTGGGTGACAGCCAAAGCATGAAAACAAAAGCCCTATTCAGAGAAAATGAATCCTTGCACTGCTATATGAATATCAAGTGAATTATGCAAATCAGAACAGGAGCAGCTTTAGTTAACTCTCCCTTTCTGACCTTGCTCCTGTCTAATGAGGAAATCATGCCCAAAACCCTGAAGTATATGTTTCTGTCCTAGACACAGCACACACAGTAAATGCTGACTTGGGTTTTGGAACATGTGAAGTTTGTTTGTTTGTTTTGTAAGCTATATGATTCTGACTTTACAAAACCAGTCAGAGAGCAGTAACTCTGAACAGAACATCAGTCTTTCTCTTTAGTTGGGGAAAGAGAAGGGGAAAAAGAGATAAGTACCTGCTTATACACAGATTAATGACATTGGAATTTTTGTTTTCAAGACAAAATACTAACAACATTCCTATTAAGTAGAGCTTCAAATATGCCTTTTAAACATTTAGAATCATAGAAAGTAAGGCCTAGAAGGGACCTCAGGAGGTCATCTAGTCCAACCCCCTGCTCCATCTCCAACTAGATCATCACAACCAGCTCTTTGTCTAGCCGGGACTTAAAATACTTCAAGATAGAGATTCCACTGCCTCTCTGGGTAACCTGGTCCAATGTTTTACTACCCTCCTAGTAAGAAAATTCTTCCTAATATCTAACCCAAACTTCCCTTGCTGCAACTTGAGACTTTTGCTCCTTCTTCTCCCATCTGCCACCACTGAGAACAGTTCAGTTCCATCCTCTTTCAAACGCCCCTTCACATAGTTGAAGGCTGCTATTAAATCCCCTCTTAGTCTCCTCTTCTGTAGACTAAATAAGCCCAGTTCTCTCAGTCTTTCCTCATAAGTCATGTGCCCCAGCTCCCTCATCATTTTTGTTTCCTTTTCTGAACCCTCTCCAATTTGTCCACATCATTTCTGAAGTGGGGGCCTCAAAACTGAACATGCTACTCCAGATGTGGCCTCACCAGTGCTGAATAGAGGAGAATAATCACTTCCCTTGACCTGCTAGCAACACTCCTACCAATGCATCCCAGTATGCCATTCGCCTTCTTGGCAACAAGGGCACAGTGTTGGCTCATATTCAGCTTATTGTCCACTGTAACCCCCAGGTCCTTTTCTAAAGAGATGCTTCCCAGCCAGTCAGCCCCCAGCCTGTACTGGTGCATGGGTTTGTTCTGTCCTAAGTGCAGGACTTTGCACTAGTCCTTGTTGAACCTCATGAGATTTATTTTGGCCCAGTCCTCCAATTTGTCTAGATCACTCTGTAGCCTAGCCCAGCGTATCTACTACTCCCCCCATCTTGATATCATCTGCAAACTTCCTGAGGGTGCACTCTATGCCATCTTCCAGGTCACTGATGAAGACACTGAACAAAATCAGCCCCAGGACCAACCCCTGGAGCACTCCACTTGATATCAGCTACCAAGTAGACATCGAGTCATTGATTACTACCCTCTGAGCCTGATGCTCCAGCCAGTTTTCTATCCACCTTACAGTCAATTCATCCAGCCTGTACTTCCTTAAATTGCCTGCAAAAATGTTGTGGGAAACCATTTCAAAAGCCTCACAAAAATCAAGGTATAACACATCCACTGGTCTCCCCACCAGTCACGTCATCATAGAAAATAATCAGGGTGGTCAGGCATGACTTGCCCGTGGTGAATCCATGCTGACTGTTCCTAATCACCATCTTCTCCTCCAAGTGCTTAGAAATGGATTCCTTGAGGATCTGCTCCATGGATCAGTCAGATAAAACCAATAACTTTAAAGATTTATCCAAGTCTTTCAAGAATACAAACCTTTTTCCTCCTATTAATTTTCCTTCTGAAATATTTATGTTTAAATATAGAATAATCTACCATAAAATGTACTGTTTTACTGTAAATATAATCTATGGAAAGTAAAAAACAAAACAAACTACCGCAGAATAAAGCTCACAACAACTTAAATTTGAAACCTAGAAATGTGCTTTCACTGTGAAACAACTGAGAAAGTAATAGCTACCAGGGCTGTGCGAGGCTTCAGACCGTGGTTTGGATCCAGAGAAGCTTGTCCAGATCGAAGCGCTGGCTTTGTTGGGCTTTCTGAAGTGGTTTGGAGCTTCCGAACCACTTTGGAAAAGCTTCAGAGCTGCCTTGGAGATCTGGCCATAGGGTATAATGGGGAATCAATGAAATATCTATAACTTTGTTGGTTTTTGTCTGATTTGGATGAAACGTCCCGGGGTGGTAGCCTCTGCTGAGAGCATGAAGCCTACCAAGTTTCAAGAAGATCGGTGCAGGGGTTCGGGGGGAACTGCACCCCAAATTCTTGAAAGCAAAACTCATGTCACGTCTATGTGTTACACCACAGGGCCTCAGCAGGGGCCGCCACTCCTGAAGTTTTCACCCCCATGTGGTGCACTCTATGTGGTGCAGTTCCCCCTGAACCCCTGCACCAAACTCATTGAAACTTGTCAGGCTTCATGCTCTTAGCAGAGGCTACCACCCTTGCAAGTTTCATCCAAATCAGACAAAAAACAACAAAGTTATAGATATTTAATTGATACCCCATTATACCCTATGGCCGGATCTCTGAGGTGACTCCGAAGCCTCGGAGCTGCTTCAGCCGGATCGAAGCAGGAACCCAGTCCAGAGCTCTGGATTGCATCGCTGGCATCCGAAGCCGGATTGAATAGCTGCCTACTCACACAGGCCTAATAGCTACTATGATGCAGTGGATGTCATACTAGTGCATCAGGTAGTGACTCAATATTCTGCACTGTTTGATATGAAAAAGTCATTACACACTAAAAATCCCTTCACATATTCCCCATTTATGTCAAACAACTATTCTGTAACTTACGTGAGCTATCTGATGAAAACTGTATCTTATGTCTGTTTTTATTTTGTATAAGAATCTTTACATTCGTGTTAAACATCCAGGCTTAGCCCAAACATTTTATTTACATTCTTGCCAGGATTTTTCATACAAACAAATAAATTAAGTAATTAAAATACTATGAAGTTGAACAACTTACATCATATTTTCAGGTTCAGCTGCACAAGATCCCACTGCTTTGGTGACATTCACTAGAAGTGCCTGATTGGTTCCAGTAAGTAAATTAACCAGAGGTGGTATGCCAGCACATTTACGGATAATAGCTCGATTTATTGGCTCTTGGCAACATTCCCCTAGTGCTCCAACAACATTCACAAGTACTTCTTCAGGCTGATCAGTTAGCAGTCCTACCAAAGTTTCTATGACTTTGTATTCCCGAAATCTAAGTAAAAGAAAGAACCCCCCCGCCATTATTTCCATCATATTACTGTTATAAGATAATGCTTTCATTTTTATGATGAAGTTATAGCGTTAAAGCAATGACTTCAGTATTAATTGTTCAAACATAGTTAATGAAAATATACAATGCACAGTTATTTATTTTGATTTTAAGCTATTAATTAAAATAAGAGAAAAATAGAAAATAAAGAATATAAAATAATCATTTATTCTAAATTAATCACTCAGCATCAAAAAGACCTCTCACCATGAGCACTGGTGTATTTTCCTAATTTTAAATCTCAGTGAATAGACATAAAATTTAATTAAAAGTTAAAAACCTAATTTTGCAAAGCCTAGATACAGGCCATAGGACATGGTATTTCATATAGCTGACTGGCTCAGAATATTAAAGTAATCAACTTGAATTAAAGCTGTAATTTTAAAATGTAATTAGTCTTATTTTAGGCAGAGATAAAAGCTATTAAATCTGTTGGATTTTATGTTTATGGTTTATATATGATGACTGGTTTGTGTGGTTGTCACAGTATGCTCTCAGGTTGAATTAGAACTAGATTGTATTTACACATTGCTTGTTTGCTTATTTCATACTTACGAATCTAATTTATAGTTCAAATTAAATCTGCTGGGCCAAATCCTAACTAAATTACATTAAGCAAAAGTCAGGTCACTTAAAATTCACCTTTATACACGCCTGATCTTGCTGTCTGCAGATGGGTCCCTTTAAGGCATCCTAGGCCCCTGGCAGATGTTATACTTAAGACAGGATGGACCAGTTAATAACTTGGGTGTGTTTACATGAGACATTTTACTGAACAGTAGCATAGTTTACTGTGCAGTAAGCATGCACATCTAATCATGCACATGCTTACTGCACACTAAACTTTGATAATCCCAAGTAAATTTGCTACCTGCAAATGCAAGGAACAAATTTACTTGCAATTAGTTACTGCACAGTAGCGCTTGTGTAGATGTCTGACTGGGAGCAAATCTGCTCCTGGTCAGCTGACTAGCAGGGGACAAGAGATTTCTCTCTGCCCCTAGTAGCCACCAGCTGCTGGGGTGGGGACTATGTTCCCCTGCCCCAGCAGCAGGGAGCTCCAAGCCCCCCTGATCTGAGATTGTGATCAGAGAGTGGGGGCTGGCAGATCTTTATCTCCCAGACCCTGCTTCACTATCATGATTGGAGAATGGGGGACTGGGAGATCCTTATCTTCCAGCCCGAGCCCCAGTACTGCAGAGATCAGACTGGGAGACAGGGATCTCCCAGCGCTGCCCCCATGGTTGTAGAGCTGGTGCTGGGAGCTCCCTGCTGGTGGTGGCTGGGGAGCCTGTTCCCTGCCCATCTTCATGATCACAGAGCTGAACAGGAAACAGGATCCCCAGCCTGTTCCCCACTCAGCTCAGCAACCACGTAGCTGAGTGGGCAACAGGCTCTCCAGCTCCTGCCCTAAGATTGCAGAGCGAGGACTGGGAACTGTCTCTGTCAGAGGCAAGTCCCAGCCCATGCCCTGATTGGATGATCAAGGTGTAGGTCTTGGAAAGAGCTACACGGGAGGGGCAGGTCTCAGTCCCCTGCCCCAATCCGCCAGTGGGAAAGCTAGCAGCAAGCCCCCAGCTGAATAGGGAATCCCACCAGCAGAGCAGGGCAGAGAGCTGGGACCTACTGTTCCCCTGCAGCTCTTTCCAAGTCCCCTGCCCCCAGTCCGGGAGCTGGGGCCAGGAGCTCCCTGCCACCAGGGCAGGGGAACATTATCTCTGCCCTGGCAGCAGGCAGCCCCTTGAGAGCAGGAAGCAATGTTCCAGATTTGGCCCGGAAACAACTGTCTCCTGGCCTGGTTCTCCCTGCTAGCACCCAAGGAGAGTCTAGCCCTCCCCCTGGTGGGAGCGCAGGCCCATTGCAGGGCCTCAGGAAGTGGAAGTTGTGCAGGCCCTCTCCCGATCCCGCCTGGGTTGCCATGTGCGAGTTCTCTCCCGATCCCATCTGGGTCGCCATGTGCGAGCCGGGGGTGAGCCGGGCCTGTCTTTGTGCACACAGGCTGTGGCCAGCAGTCCGGGCACGCGGGGTTGGAGAAAACCGCGGCGCGGTATGGTACGCTCAAGCTAGAATCAGTCATGGAGGCGTAATGGTTGATTGAAAAGATTATTTACTTACACCCGAGGTGGTCGCGGTGTAGGCTGGTCAGCTTTCCAGGCACAGCTCCGCTTGAGTTCTCGGTGGAGGACTCTAATAGACTCGGTTCCTTGACCCCGGAGTGGTTTAGGCTCCGCGGGTTCAATAATTCGTTCTCATGGAGCAGCTGTATCTCCGTGGGTTACTCGGTTCCCAGGTCCCCCGGATCTGTTAAGACTCCGTGGGTTCGACAATTGGGTCC